AGCTGTGGAAGCTTTAAGAAATCAAAGGTCTTGGAAATATCTTCTACAACCTCTCCCCTACTGCTGGAAAAATTCAGCTTCTCCATTTATCTTCCTTTTCTTCTGTTTGTTTCAAAATTAACAGCTACAATTCTATATACTCCCTAAGTAAAGGAGCTTTCAGGCTTAGTTCCTCTGCCTTGCTACAAAAATTGTCAGTGATCCTCGAGTTCTTCCTCTCCCCAGCCACAGCTGAATGGGTAGCCACAGCAGCTGCTAAAGGAGACAGCCACCACATTCTGGGTCCTGCAGACGTGTCGCTGGGCCATGCTGCAGGCCAGCCAGGCAGCTTTTCTTGGGGTATATTCTGCTTTCATAAAAGCTGAAGCAGCAGGACGGAGATCAGGATGCCATCGTTTATATTCAGCTCGGGTACATGGTGGTAAGCAGACGTTGGTCGTCAAGATAAATTTTCCCTTCTTTTGCCTCTCTGTTTATCTAGGAAGATACCATGGAGGTGGAAGAGTTCTTGAAAGAAGCTGCTGTGATGAAGGAGATCAAGCACCCAAATCTAGTGCAGTTGTTAGGTTAGTGAAATTCCTTGCTCTTTCTGTGCTTGAGTTTCCACCAACAGGAAATCTCTCCTGTTCAAAGCAGTGGCAGATTTTCTGTATTTATACAACCTACTGAATTGGGTCAGTTCACAGGGTGGTATTTTTGACAGCTTATATAGAATTGGAGCTGAGACGCTAATTTTAAATAAAACATCAAATACAGTCATGCACATCAGTAGACAACTTTGCTGTTGAGGCACCACTATGCATTATATAAAAGTTCACAATGTCAGCCTCCTTTTAGTTTGTACCCTTGGCCTTAGACACGCTCCAGGGTTCAGTTATCAGGGTCAGATTCCTTTTCTGCTGCATTAAATCAGATTGACAAAATTATTTTCCATGACTTACGTTTTTGATAGAACAAAACAAAATTATAAGAAAATGGAAAGTGAAAGAAAAAACTTAGATTGGAAGCACAAGAAATGCCGTGTTTCATGCTTCTCAAATCGGAGAAATGTATAGAAAAACATACATAAACAGGAAAATCAGTGTGTAATAAAGCAGAAGACGACCAGATCGCTGCTGTTGTAGGGCACCCTGTGTACGGCCAAATAAGTACACGAGACCCACGAGGTGGAGACACAAGTCAGATCCAACAGCATGCAAATGGAAGAACTCTGCAGGCGTTAAAGCTCGGCTGGGCCCCGTCTGTCTCACTGACAAATGCTTATGATCATCGCTATTAAATACTCTGCATAGCTGTTAATTCTACATGTACAAAGATTCTTAAGGAGACACCCTAAACCTTAACTGGTGTTTAATTGCCTCTGGACTTTTGCTGCTCTCAGAAGCGAAGCTGTCAAGCCAAGCCTAGGATGAAAGGAGAAATGTGAAGAATGTTAAGGCTTTTAATAATGGCAACTATTCTGTACCCGTTTAAAAAATGGGCACAGATGAAGTGTCTGCCCAGCCCTGTCCGATGCCAGGAGCAGAGACTAAAAGCTCTCTCATCAGAGAGGCATTTTTGCTCTTTCTGATGCGCCGTGTCGTTGTGTTTTACTCCTGTATGTGCGTAACGGTACGGACGGGCAGTCAGCAGCACGGCAGCGGGAGCTCCCGGGGATTCAACATGAGTATCCTGTTGCCCTCCTCCTCCGCAAGTACATGCTTTGTACACAGCTGCAGTGACTGCAGCGAGTAGTCATCTGCGGAATGTGCGGGAATGCTGCTTTAGGAGCAGGTCCCACCGTGCCGATGACTTACCCAGCTAGCGCACGTGGGAGTGCTTCACATGACTCTCGTGACACTGCAGTCTGGAAATCTTGCCAGCTGACAGGTACCTGCTTCCAGCTGGCCACTCTTGAGCTTTAAGAAGGAAGAGGGGAAGAAAAGCAAATCAGATGTGTTCAGAATAACTCCTGTTTCATTCTATAACCCTCCAAAGAGCAGAACTCCTTCATGTCTATTATACAGGAATAGTGGTGCTTTGATAGACATCTTTCCCGCTATCCATAAAGTGGATGGACAGATAAATAGCCAAGAGCATCAAATTTAATTTTGGCTGCACTGATCTGAGTCTTGTAGATGGGAAGCCTTAATTTTCAGAGGAACATTCACTGCTACAGAGTGCAACAAATAGATATTAAATCAGAAATAGTGATAATCTAGTGAAAAACGGGATTATTCACATGCTCCCTCCTCCTCGCTGCTAGGTGTATGTACCCTGGAGCCACCCTTTTACATTGTGACGGAGTACATGCCGTATGGGAACCTGCTAGACTATTTACGGGAATGCAACCGGGAGGAAGTGAGCGCTGTTGTGCTACTCTACATGGCTACTCAGATCTCCTCTGCTATGGAGTACCTAGAGAAGAAGAACTTCATTCACAGGTGGGTGAAGTCACACTGAGCCACTAAGGTTCCAGATTGTAATGATGAACAGGCTACCAGCATGGTGGCCCAGGAATTCCTTCTTTTGGGGAGGTTTCTTGCAGAGTTAGGTTTCATACTGGCTTATCTACAGTCTTATTGCCTGTAAGAAGGCTGGGGGAGACTTCTTACAAGGGCAGGGAGTGACAGGACAAGGGGTAACGGGTTTAAATTGAAAGTGGGGAGGTTTAGATTGGAAATCAGGAAGAAATTCTTCCCGGAGAGGGTGGGGAGCACTGGGACAGGTTGCCCAGAGAAGCTGTGGATGCCCCATCCCTGGAAGGCCAGGCTGGAGGAGGCTTGGAGCAACCTGGTCTAGTGGAAGGTGTCCCTGCCCATGGCACGGGGGTTGGAACTGGATCATGTTTAAGGTCCCTTCCCACCCAAACCATTCTGTGACTCTGTGATCTGTTGGCTGTTTTGGTTTCAGTACTGTCTTGTAATACCTTTCATAGCAGGCTTAGAATCCTGTGCACAACTGCCTGACAGCTATGAAAGTTGGTGTTGTCCTGCTCTCATGTACCCCCCATGTGCAAGACATTGTCAACCCCAACTCCTGTTTTAATCCAGTCAGGTAAAGCCATGCCATAAAGCTGTTACCAGCATGTGCTGATCTCATCCTGTTCTCAGGAAACATAAACTTCTCCTCGTGGCAGCTATCATTACGGGAAATTTAACAGAATTTAAAGAATGAACCCTAATCCTGACCTTCTTGCTCCTAAGAGTAAGGCCATTCGATTGCTGACACCGTTCAGAGCGAAGCTGTCATTGTCTTTACCTTCTTACAAAGGGAGTGTGTCCCGATTCATGAGGTAGGGCCAGGCTGTGCAGCCACAGGACTCTGTTCAAAAGCCCTGCTCTTGCTCCAGTGAAGGAGTGTGCGTTTTTCCTTTGTACAGGGACCTGGCAGCACGGAACTGCTTAGTTGGAGAAAATCACGTGGTGAAGGTGGCTGACTTCGGCCTAAGTCGCCTTATGACTGGAGATACCTACACAGCTCATGCTGGAGCCAAGTTCCCAATCAAATGGACAGCTCCCGAGAGCCTGGCCTACAACACCTTTTCAATCAAATCAGATGTGTGGGGTAAGAAATCTCCACTTGGTGTTTTGCCTTTTGTTTTTCTTTGCTTTCTTTGTACTTTCACCTACACTGGCCTGAAACGTCTGCGAGAAAATGGTGCTGCCTCAAGCTGCAGCGAAGGCCACAGTGTAATGAGCAACACAAGAGGAGGGCAGTCTTCTGACCAGGAGTTTTGTTTCCCTCCTTTTGCAGCCTTTGGGGTGCTGTTATGGGAAATCGCTACCTATGGGATGTCACCGTACCCAGGCATTGACCTCTCTCAGGTGTATGATCTGCTGGAAAAGGGCTATCGGATGGAACAGCCGGAGGGGTGCCCTCCAAAGGTTTACGAACTGATGAGGGCATGTGAGTATCTTCTTCCAGTGTGGGGGAGCAAAGCCTGGGAGGGGTGGAAGAAACTTAACGCTCAAGTCCTTGCTTCTTAATTGCCATGTTGTTAGCTAATGTGGAAGAGGCCCCATCAACTGAGGCAGACCTGGTTACTAATGCAGAATGAGTCTGTTCTCTAGGGAGCAAGAGTTCACTCTCAAGATCTGTCACCTCTGAGTACAGCTAGATAGTGCTTTGTGGGAAATTGTACTGGTATTTTGTCAGTAGGAGTCTTTCTAAGGAATCACCAAATTTGAAGGATATTTAGTTCTCTGCAAACACAGAACTTGTGCAGGAGACACAGAGGTGACAGGGTTGCACAAAATGCATCCTCCAAGCACGCTATTGGCCATGAAAAGCTCCCTAAAGCTCCATAACAGATTGAAAATCTGCTAATACGAGACCAAAAGATGCAGTGTGCTGCAGGAAGAGAGCAACAGAGTTTAAGAGCATTGCTCTTAAGCATCTCTGAGCAGAGACACCCAGTGACCAGGGTGGGAAAGACTCCCTGATGCTAACTCAAGCAGTGTGTGGCCCTGGGTGTACAAGACAGACATACCAGGGCTACAGCCTGTCTCTAGGCACGCCTGATCCCCAGTGTGTCAAAGTCAGGCTGAACCTCTGTTATGAAACAAAGAAACTGCACAGTGATGGAAGATGCTGCTTCAAAAACCCTTCGGGAAGCTGACAAAAACCCCAAAACAGGGTATTTACATTAAGGCAACCCACTATGGGCAGAATGCCAGTCGTTTTCCAGACCCTGTGGTGATACCAACAGATAGCGCTTCCACAATACGTTCCCCTACTGCAGATTTCTAACTACAGAAATTACACTTTTCGTCATGATACCCTTCCATAATTTTCCAAGCTCCATCTTAGATCACTGCACTCTCTTCCCCTTTCCCCCCCCAAGGCGCACACATTCTCCTTTGGAAAGGCTCTGTCTGAATTTCAGTATGAAGAGCACATGAGCAGGATGTTGCTTGCAGCTTTGCACAGTCTTATCTGTGACTGGGTTAGAGGAGTTCAGTCCAAACAGCCTGCGTAGCAAACATGGAGCTCTCCTTTACCAAAAAAACATCAGGAAGAGGGATGGGAAGATGGGAAAAAGCTGTGGAGTTGGCAGAGAGCTGGTTTTTTAGAACTGATTCCTTCCTCTCAAGACCTATTTGTTAGGATACAGTGGGGTGACTGCTGCTATGGATTAATACTGTGAATGACTCTAAAGCCTGTTTAACAGCAGGAGAGCAGAGCCTGACTGCAGTCGAGAAAGCTGACGTATTTTCTGTCTCCATGGAGAGAATAAAAACATCATCCCATACCTCTTTCAGGCATTCATACTCTGCTTTCTCATGTTGTAGGTTGGAAGTGGAACCCACCAGACCGACCTTCCTTTGCCGAGACCCACCAGGCCTTTGAAACCATGTTCCACGACTCAAGCATCTCGGAGGGTGAGAGCCCCCTGTGCTTTATTTTGGAAACAATACTGGGATTTTTCCCACAGAGAGCTGTCTCTTCTGGATGAGCTCTTAAAGCTCATCTGCTGGCTGTGGAGGTTGTGAGAGGCTTTAGCCCTTAATTTCTTAAGTGTGGCCAGCAGG